GACAATAGCATCGTTTCCACAGATATGCCACGGTTTTTCTATAGTACAAAAAATGAAGAAAAGAGATAGAAATTGGTGTCTTCGGTGTACCTATGAAGAATTGGTGTTGTATGAAACTTGTTTTCTTGAAGATGCCATTGAAAATAGTTCACCGGTTTTTCCAGATGAATCTATTCAAATTGACTTGCTAAAAGTTACAATGTTAGTGAAAACTACAGTACCTTCAACTGAAGCAAATCCACAAGAATATAAACATATATGCTTCTTCAATGAACTTGACTTTTGTGTCTTATACCATATCACACTTTTCGAGCTTCGAGAAATATACTCAAAAAAAAACAATTCTGATACTTACTTTCAAATAACTCTTCGGAATTGTTCTTCGTTTTACAGAATATTTAAAAAAAACATATTTTTTAGTAAAAAACCACACAAATGAAAATTTCTCGAAATGATTTTTATTCAAAAATTACTTTCTTTTTCACCTCCTTCACTTTGAAACATGACTTATAGACACCCTATATAGTGAAATCCGAGATCGAGTACTTGATTATTTAATTTCTTTAACAGCGTTTTCGGTCCTTGAATATTTTTGGAATTAAATTCTACCAGATTTTCTGTATTTTATAAATATTACTGACGCTTCAATATCAACAATACTACCATCTTCGTGTATTTTCATATAGTATGGCCCATTTAAAACGGAAGCACCCTAATAAAAATGATATTTTTCAATCCATTAGGTGGACATTAGGGTCAACTTTTATAATTTTTCGAAGTCAAAAATTAAAAAAATGTATTTGCAATTTTGTTTGAGGAACATCCGACCGCAAACTGAATATACCTAATTTTGAAATAGTTTAGACCAAAATTACTTTGAAATGAGTTCTTCGTTGAAAAAACATAAGGAAATAACATTCCAAAAATAAAATATTCAATTATCCCACCGATTCAATTCCAGAACCCCCATCAAAATCCTGAGTAGTCCACTGGATTCAGCAGAATAATATTTTGTTACTCTCCAGAATTTCATCAAATTCTGTTGAAGAACAGACGTAAGTGAAAATGTTATAAGTAAAGAAGAAGTTATAAAATTAAGAACATATCATGGTGTGTAGGCTGTCACGGCCGGTGTCTTAGGAATTGTCAGATGTTTCTAGGTTAGCCGTGGTCTGCATGTGTTTTTATCTAACGTTTCGTCTGCTACTGCGGCAGATATTATCAGAGGCCATGCGGCAACTTGGTTGAGTAGCGAATAAATTCCATTTTGTCTTTATATTGTCATTAATGGAACCCACTTTTCCTTAGAGTCACTACGAATACTAATAGAGTAATTAATTCACATGAAAAATTATAGAAACTCGTGTTTAATTTCATTGAAATAACAGAAAATGAGAAACGATAGCTGATGATTAATAGAGTTTGAACCAATCCGTTATTAAGAAAATTGTGGCACTTACATGTGGCGAACAGAAAAACTGCTAACATTACAAATGTCTTCATTTTTTTTCTGCCTATTCAGTTCTGTTGCAGAAGAAAGCAAAACACGTATTGTATAGAACATCTTCTGCAAAGCTTTATATATCTCCAGGTTGAGAAATGTTTTGAATTCGTGGATGGCAAGAGGTCAATCTTTATTAGATATATGATGCTGAATCAATTTTGTATCAGAATGATCCTAATCGTTAAAACAAACAATTTTAAGTTTTGATGTCTTTCAATCCAACGATTTCGTAATTATGTTTTTCAAATTATGCATTTTTCTAATAATATTCTTGTTATCATGGTTGAGAAATAGTCCGGTATAATTTTTTTATTTTCAATCAAAAATATTTTTTCTTGATTTGCCATTTGGACATTCAATTTATTTTTTTATTCTTTTCCCCCTTGAAAAATGTATGTTCATTGAAATTTATTCAATTAAGAGTGCCAATATTCGGGGCGTTGCCAAAACTGCCTGAGCAATAGCACAGAAACAACTGCTTGTCTACAATTTTATGTACGCTTAATGAGGTAATAAGCGAACTTACAAAGTCCGCCATTGAGGATGAAAGTGTTCCATAACGATTGCTTGAAGTTCAAACAGTATGGGGAAAAAGTGATTTTCGTATGATTCATATGAAAATAGTTGTGCCGAAAGTAGTTTTTCTTTCATGTATTTCAATATTCATGTGAAACTAATTGTTTCAGAAGGCTTTTTTCCTTTAGTTCGTATCTAAAAGTAACCAATATGCATGATATGCACATTTTTGTGAAGTGTCAATTTCAACTTAATTGTTTCCTTCGGAAATTTCATATATTCCAATTTAAACAGACAGCGTTGTTTCAACCAATCATAGGTCTCATCAGAGGAAATCGACTGAATCAATCAACTGTCCTCAAAGGACACGCCTGAGTAAGAATTTTTTACTCCTGAGACCTATGGCAGATCAAAAAAGCGCTGCGGTAGGCTCCTGTTGTTGACTCCGTTCGTTTGCACTTGGCTACACCGCGCTTTTAAGGCCAATAGTCAGAAACACGTGTCCGCGGTTGGCCATCAATTTTTCTTGAGTGCTGTTCCAACTTATCTTACCCTTTTGAATTTAATCATAGACACTCAATAACACCCCCTTTTCATATTTATATCCTGGACTCGGAATATACGCAGGTAGCTGTAGCTGCCTCCGTAGTAGTGTTAGGATATCTTAGGAATTCTAGGTCTCCTAACTAGAATCAGAAATGTGCGGTAGGCTCCTGTTGTTGACTCCGTTCGTTTGTTATATCTTCCCGTTTTCGGAAACCAAGTGTTGTTCTTCTTTGCACTTGGCTACACCGCGTTTTTAAGGCCAATTTGAATCCCCCCCTTCCATTAACATCCTTCCACACCGCAATAAGATAATCGGCCAAATTACTAATACAATGTTTTCTTCTACATAATTTTATTGCTTTCAATAGACATTTTCTTTTCGAAATTAGGTTCTGTTTAATGCATCACAATCTTCTTTGATCGCTTCTTCAACAGCATCATGGAAATGAAGGTTGGCATTCTTAGTGATTGGATTTGTACAACCGCTTTCGAACTTTTTAGAACAGCTTCTTACTTTAGGTATCATTCTATAAAAAAACAATCATATATTGGAAAATGTAGGTGGATCAAGTTCCAGTTTTAGCAGAAATCAATATTATGACAATTCCTCATTAAAAATGTGGTTCCAGAATAAAATAATTGAGTTATGCCTCAAATGGTGCCAAATTCGTTACGCACGAGGAATTGAAAAAAAGAAAAAACTGATACCATTGAGGTGGAGGTGATGTGTATTGGTAGATTTGAATTACGATACTTACGAACAAACGAAACTCTTTGAAGGAAGTTGATCCTTGTGGCTGGCTAAAGCGTCCTTGACTTCTGTACATTCTGGTGACTTACTTGCTTCTTCGTTGAGTACACAAGGGTTGAACAATTCTGAAATTGAATAAATTCAATTATCTTTGAGAATTCGAACACCTCCATTGGAATGTTTGAGTCAATTGGAGAGAAAGATGTGTCTACAATACACTAATATCGTAATTATAATCACACAAAAATGAATGATAGACATGTTTTGACTACTTGTGAAAGCTTCAACTTAGTTTTCGAACAACAATCGAGGTATCAAATGGTTACCTTTCCAACCTCATGTAAGCTTTGAGAGGTCGTCTTCTTGATGATCTGTCAGTAATAAAGACTATCGCATTGAAAGAACTGACCAATCGTCTTCGATTCATCCAGGTTGGAGCCCAGCTCCCTTACCCTTCTAGCTGTCGAAGAAGGACAAATGGGTTCATGACTGAGGGGATGTTGGCGGCATGAAGTCCTCAGACATCAGTACCGCCCCTTCACGGGGTACCCCTACCTGGCTGGGGTGGAATGGATGATAAATCTATTCATCCTTTAACGGGGGACATGAGGGCCTCATTCGACAGAGTGTCGGGGCCTTCTATATCGGAAGGGGTCGTCTACAGCATATTCTGTAGCTTCCCTAACTAACGGATTTTCGTGAGTTTCCGCACCATCAAAAACTAGCCGATTCCTCGACCGAATGGACTGCCGAATGGAAGGCAGCTGCAAATCTCTGCGGATGGCTTCATTCCGCACGAACCAAGAAGCATTCACAATTATCCTCATTAACACGTTTTGTAATCTCTCCAGAATGGAGAGATTATACGTAGCCTCTTGTCATAAGACGCCTGAAGCATACATGATTGACAGGTTTGAACATCGTATTGTAGATGGTAATTTTATTCTTTAAACTCATTTTGGATCTTCTGTTGATCAGAGGGTACAGACTAGCTATCCGACCCTCGATCTTTGATTTGACGCACATGATGTGTGGGTTTCAAATGAGCCTACGGTCTATTAGTAGGCCGAGGTTCTCTACCATTGGAAGAACGGAAAGAGAGTGAAGAACCTTTTTTGTCCAAAATAATTTCTTTATTCCACTCGAACCATTGGAGAGCTGATATAAAAACGTGAAAGAGAATAATTTCCGCTGCTAAAGAAATAATATTTCGTTTTGATTTATATAAACTTGAAACATTCATTCTTGGAAGGAAGTGTAATGATGCTGATACCTCGAAAAGGTTGATAACGTTAGGGTAGCATTTATGGGGTTGGGTGGAAGAACATTACAGTGAGGTCGTGACTCCAAATGAAATGAAGTCCGTCCTTTTCTCCTCTTAGCTCATTATCACATATATAAAGTGTACAATTCATGTGAGGAATGAAGGCTATTATTATATTATTATTATTATCATGATTTTCAAATATTCGAATTATCTCTCCAATGTTCGTGTGCAGAAGTTTGACATAAGATAATTCGTATTGTAGATGGTAATTTTATTCTTTAAACTCATTTTAGATCTTCTGTTGATCAGAGGGTACAGACTAGCTATCCGACCCTCGATCTTTGATCGTCCTTTTCTCCTCTTTATTAGCTCATTATCACATATATAAAGTGTATAATTCATGTGAGGAATGAAGGCTATTATTTTATTATTATTATTATCATGATTTTCAAATATTCGAATTATCTCTCCAATGTTCGTGTGCAGAAGTTTGACATAAGATAATACTCGAAGAAAACAATATATTGAGTCGAAATTTTCACCATCCGTTGAATCTCATGTGAGAAACTCCAGACTGTCCAAGTTTGATTGAAATCGAATAATTAGAAAGGTGTTTTCCTGGATCTCTTTCGGCAACCCTTGTAATTTCAGAACGATTATCTTCCAAATGGGTTGAGATACACAAAAACTTGAATACACTTTTGAAAAATTCGCTAGTACGGGAGAAATCGAAAAAAACTTGTTTCGTAATTTTCCAAATCACATAGAAATTAAAAATCTTTTATATTGGCTCCCAAAAAAATCTACAAAAAACTCCTTTACAATTTTATTCTAACTATAAGGGTTTTCATTAGGCGCTAACTATCTTCCTATCTTTGAATTCAAATAATACAAAGTGTGTGTGTGAGATATCATCGAATTTTTTTATTCATTTGAAAGACCTATTGATGCCATTATGTGTGGGATATGACATCTTTCAAATGTCTGCTTTGGCTTATCTGCGTGAGTGCATCCGAAACGTCCAATTTTCCATGACTCCAATAAGGGTGAATTTGACCGATGGCATGGGTTATGTTGGCTTTGAAGACCGCTGTGGTTTGTGGCTTATTCGCATACACCTGCGACTTCAAAAAATCCACAAGAAAAATTCTAACGGATCAAATCGCACGATCTCGATGGCCAGTTCACATCACCTCCACATAAGATAACCTTGTCCACGAATCACTCGTGCAGAATATCCAATGTGGCATGAGAATGAGGCAAGTAGCGCCGTTCTGTTGAAACCACATTACGTTGGTGTCCAGATCATTCAATTCAGGCCTATAGAAGTTAGTAATCATCGACATAGAGTGCTCGTTGACGGTGATCGCCTGGCCGACGTCGTTCTCAAAGAAATATGTATCGATGACGCCCCCAGCCCAAAATCTACACCAAACAGTGACTTTTTTGGGATGCATTTGACGCTCTTCGATCTCATATAAATTGGTAGGTGATTTTCGATGAAAATTAGGCTCAGTTGATAACTGCTTCACCCAGAGCCCATTCAGCGAACACTACGTCATTGTCTATAGCCGTTCACCTTCAGTTTCTGAGTCGGTTTAATTTTGTACGGGTGCGCGTCTGCGAAAGGATTCTCCGGCACAATCTCATAGACAGGGGTAATGTTTTCGGCGTTTCGTGGACGTACGGGTGTTGGTCGATCGTTGGTCGTTGGTCTTAAATGTATTCACCACATTGAGGAAAGTCCTCTCGGTAGGACGATTATGGTGACCGTAAATTGGGCGATATGCGCGCTACGTTGCCCGAACAGAACACACATTTTGACAAAAAAAATTTGATTATTTGCAAGTGTTGGTGAATGATATATCTGTCCATGGTGATCTGGCAAGACAGACTGATTAAATGACAACTAATTTCACAGATGTAGCTTCAACAAGATGGCCGTTATCAATTGTCAAAGTTTGGAAGTCCCTGATAGAAGTCCCTATATTGTTGGGAAAAGAAAATTCTACATGAACTATGATAGCCATAAAATGCAAAGATATATTTTGTAACATTAGTCGAATTATTCTAATTTTTTTTGAAAATAAGTAATTTTTGCGATATGTATCGTATTGTTGAAGTTATGAAAAAAGTTTATCAAACATTTTTGTTGTACTCAATAGTGTCCATAAATCATGAATTTGAAATTGTGGAACTAGTTGAAACTAAAATCTGAAAATTTCGTTTTCACAGAACCTTTTTTGTTTCTGTTGAGAAGTTGAACAAAACACTTCATTAGAGTTTTCTGGTAATTGCTATAGTTCACGATATATAATTGAAAAATTTTGAAAATCCCATTTTTTATTTTCTTTCCGTGAAATAAGTAGTTTAGGAATTAATTGCCTCAAAACAAACTAAAAATTTCGTTATGAACTGAAACTGAATTGAATTCATTGTACATATTTTTATTAGTATTCAAACATAGTTTGGTAGTAGTATTCAAATAATTGGTTTCCAATAATTTCAAAAAATTTCAAGTATAAAATCAAGCTCATTCTCAATTGGTTTATGGTTTGTCGTAGTACTAATATGCAAAAAACACCTCTTCGGAGACTTTCGAGCTTTCTTTTTTCTACGTTCAGGCTTAATATTCTAAGTCTAATGAATCAGTAATTTTTCACTAGGATGTGAAACTCTCAACTTACCCAATATTTCTTCGACGGTGGAATTACATGCCTGGTCTATAATCACCCAGATAATTTTTGACAGCATGGCCGGAAGCTCTTTGGATTCCTCTGGCAAACAGCTAGCGATTGCTTCGACACCTGCTTTGGAGCATCTCTCCCCATTCTTTCTTAGCAGAGAGCAGAATGTTTCGGATCCAAGTTCAATTTTCTCGATACATTCTCCAATTTCCTCACCAGCGCGCTAGAATAGATGGGGTAAAGTGAGTATTTGCTCAAGTTAGGGGATTATGATATTGTATTAACAATTTCTCTGTGATAAATATCAAGTCAATTCAGAAAACCTTTCAATGGCTCCCCGGTGATAATTATTTCACATCAAATAATGTAGATAAAAGTATTACGTCATACTTGATATGGACTACTTTGTTGTAGGACAAAGCATACATAGGAAACAAATTTATTTTTTTTACCCCAGAGAACTCTTGTTGAATTGAAAGAGAAAGTCAGAGTGTGTATATTGATTTTCATTGCGATAACTTCCTTAGAAAAAGTTTAGTCTATGAGTATCTATGTGGTACGCAAAACATAACGCATTTTTGTTTTGGTTGGTTTCCGTGTTTTGTCGTGGTCTCTTTTGGTTATAATCTGGTAAGACGATAGCCTGGTGGGTTGTCGTAGGTGGTTAGTTTCACTAACTCAATCAACCGCTGTGTAAACCGTTGGTTCAAACCGCAAGGCCTGACGATCGATTTTCACTTCCTATCGTCCAACCCGTGTTAAGAATCACATGTTAAAAGGTAAGACCCCGTCAGTCCTTAGCTCGCACAAGTTTCGACTTTTGAGAGTTGTCGTTCGTAAGAGGGCGTTAGTTGGATAACGGAAAAACAGAACAGAACAGAACAGAAACGTTTCAACTTCAACTGTGGCAACTGTAGAAACATTTTGAAATTATAAGCAAAGAAGACCACGGCAAAATCCGGAACTACCTACTTATATGAAAACACGTGTAATTTGCACAGAAATGAGAAACACATTAATAGAGGTTATATTTTTGAACAACTAAAATAATTTCAATATTACTCTAGCTTAATTGGTTAGTATTTCTCATAATAAAATAATAGTAGTAATGTCATCTTTTTGGATCTTTACTGTATAAAATCGAATGAAAAAAAGAACTCAAGAGAAGAAAACCAAAATACAGGTATTTTTCAAACGGATTATTGGAGTATTCAAATTCTTATTTATGGTTCAATAAATTTCAATTCTGTTAACGAGAAGAAGAATGAATTATAATTCAATCTTGATTAAAAATGAAACTAAGACTAGGTTTCATACTTTGAACTGTCCGCTCCAAATCGATAGAAGACCCCCTTAAGGTCAAACCCATAAACTCAATATTTGAGCAGAAACATGCTAGAATTATATTCTGCTTACTCTTCTTTGAAATGGATAAAAGTTATACTCTGATAGATAGAGATTCATACAAAATTCGACACCAATACTTTTATATCAAGTAATCTGTTTTTCTCAGAATCAAAAATTGATCTTGATGGTCTACCCATCAAGATCAATTTTCAAATTTCGAGTAAAAGAGAAAAATATCCCTATGCCTTCGAATACAATGAGTTTTATGAATAAAAAAATAAATTGAACAATAATAAAGTGTTAGCGGTAAAAATTGGAGGCATCTCCGAAATGTATATTAGAGTAAGAATTTTATCGGCAAATAATATTAATGAGAAAAATGAGAACTCAGTTTGGGGAAATGAGAACCGATAAAGGCACAGAAGAACTCTAGGTAATTTGTTCTTACCTCGTACTAACTTTCACGAAAGATTTATTTCACACAGAATTCAGACAGAAATATAGTAAATGTGACAGAAGTCAGAAAAAAAACAGTGTTTGTAGAGTCTGTGAAGATTGAAAAAACTGGTTGACCAAAAAACTTTGATTCTATTCTTGAAAGCATGGACATTCAGGAATCGGTAACGGAAAAAGTAACAAGTGTGCTTGCTAGACACGGATAATCAACACGATATATAGTAACTCAACCAGATGTAGTACGTTACTAGATCAGGAAATGGAAAAAACATAAAAAGTACAAAGGAAATATGTTCAGGACTACACATGAAATAACCTTCAGAAAAGACCGTCTTTGAAAAAAATTGAAGAACTGTTTGAATAAATCAGGGATGAGTTCAGAAAAATCACAGTGCTATTCTCTAGGAACAATCAAATTGAACGACAAAATGGGTCTGTATGATGGAGACTTCATTAACATTGTATGGATGTCCCAAATTATGTTCAGAAGAATATGATAAACGTCTCATGAAGGCCATGTATTAACTTGTATCTATAAGAAATAAGATAGATAGGAATGGGTGTGTCAGATAGATGAAATAAAAACGCAACAAGTCTATGAGGTTCCAGTGTTTTCCAAATTTGGGAGAAAATTGCCCGACCATTGCCAAGCAACCGCAGCAAAGGAAAGAAAGCTGCTGACCTCATACACCAACCCTAACAGGCATCTGGTTCTCCGAAAGATTATAGAATCATAGGAAATAACTTCCGTATCGATAACGGCGTTTCCAACATGAATACCGTTAATAAACTTATAATCAACACTTCGAAATTGGTGGCCGTGAAACTCTACAAAAAATGGCGACCCCAGAACGTGTCCGAAATTTATAAAACTCCAACGTCTACAAAAATCAAATTACTGAGAACCCAGAATGAGGAAAAACAAATCTGTAATGTGTTTGTTTCAAAGTACTTGACAATGTTCGTACGGATCTAAATAAAGACTTTTATGCTATACGGCAAAAGAACTCCAGTCTAGATGAAGCTGGCCTCCTCAATATATACTACTCAATAATTAACTCTAAACTTGACTTGATCACCATGCCTTGGGAAAAGCAAGAGATCTTCACAGAGTTTCTGTGGCTCACCATTCTAACCATCTTACATTCTGAAATGTGTTTTTTTTTGTTTGCTTGAAATAATTTATCGGTTCTTGCGCAAATGGAACTGTAACAATGGTTATCGAATCATAATCATTATTATTATTACTTTTTTTCTCACAGGGGGTAGTCCTCGCTGGTATTCTTCCTGCGCGAGAGGAGGAGGAAAGGGTTTATTTTTTTATGTTAAGGGTTTTAGTTATCACTTCTTGTTTTATATGTGTATGTATGTATGGATGGATGTTTATTTTTTGTAGGTTGGCAGTAAATGACTGCGTAGTAATTCCTGTGGGTGACGTAATGATTGGTATTTTTACTTCTCGTTCTTGTCTAGGGGTGTTTATTTTCCTATATTCATTGTTCATGAATGGAAAAGACGTTAGAAGCATACAATTAAACCAGGGACCAAACTATACATTTTCTTTCCTGAAATAAACTGGCCCCTACGTAAAAATATCTGAAATTATTGAAGATGGAATGCGGTCATATAGTAGAAAAAATCGTTACGTAAACTACTTTATGTGCAGAACTCACTTCTAATTTTTCCTCAATATCGGGGCATTTTTCCTGTGTCTTTTTGACCAATTTCATTAAATCGTAAATGATGGTAGTGTTGAGTTTGTTCTTGGCGAACTCTGCGATTTCTTCGAAGTCTTCTTTCTCCAAAGAACTGGATTCATTAGATTCTTCGGCCCATGCTGTAACAGATGACACCAAAACATAAACATTTTGTGAAGGAAATAAATACTAATAACTGAATTAAGCAATAAAAAAAAGTCAACTTTCGGAGAAATACGGAAATATTGCTGTGCGTCTTTTTTTTTAGGGAAAACTTTGTTGGAACCTAAATTACCAATGTTTGTTTGAGGGTGATTGACAATGTTTCGTTGTGCATTTCATTAGTTCGGACTTCCAATGTTTAATTTGATATGAATTGATTTGAAATCTCTGAATGAATTTCTCGACGTTTCGATTGTTAGTATCCACAGTCGTCTTCGGGTGATGACTGACGAATCGTCGTGAAATTCTTCCAGGGATTTCAAATCAATTCATATCAATGAAAGTTCGAACAGATGAAATGCACTAAATTACCAAGTTAGCAACTTTTCAATCTTGGTGATTGAATAATTCAGACTCATCTAATCATCGAAATTGTATTTTGTATTTATTTATTGATCAGCATAAGGCCTATAGACGGACAATTTCACAAATTGAATAATATTGGAAACATGTTCAATCAAATCAATTAATTATTTCCGCATGGGCAAGTATGGCCCTCATACGGGACCCCATCTTTTTCATTTGAGGGAATATACCCATGGGTCCTTTGGAGAAGTTGTTCGGAATTCAAAAATAAAAAATCTTGCTCTTGGTCTGTCTACGTCTGAAAATAACGAGAAATCGACTGAAAATATTGAGTTTATGTGGGAATTGATTGGGAATGACAACCGATAGATAATCAAATTGAGTAAAACACATTTTCCGGCGATTTTCTGTTGATATAGAAACCACTAAGCTAATTTCTAAGCTAAAAAACGAATATCTTTGAATAGACCAAAAGGGTACCTACAGATGTGTAATATAATGAATTAAAAAAAATTCAAAAGACTTTCATGTTCTTATTACCTTCATTTCAGAGTAAGAAAAGTCGAATACATTTTATTCAATATTTTTAATACTATGGGAATTATTTCTGAATACGGAAAATCAAAAAATTGACATTTCTCTCAATCTCTTCGGAACGGTTGGTGATATGAGAAATTATTCGACGTCATAAATCTTCATAAAGACAGTAAATTAGTAAAAAAATCTGTTTTCTGTTAACCAGTTACGCAAAAAGCAAAAATTAAATCGACTTAGAAAATGTCAGAAACAATGGTAGGTCAATCTTGTTCGTGTTAAGTATTACAAAAGAAAGTCGTGAAATGAATAGTGAAAAGAACAGTTCGGGAATTGCCGGATATCAAGTTTTTTTTCTCGAACCTGATCTACATAATTCACTAAGTTAATATTGAATATTACAATAAATAATGACATTTGAAACAATCATGAAATACAAATCAATTCAAAGAACCAAGATTATAAAAAAAGTGAAAGAAGAAAAAAAATCACATAAAGGAGGACATATACAGGGTGTCCCTGGACTTCCTCTTTTCCTCTCGGGAATGTATAGATGGGGTCAAAATATCACCAGTACTTCATATAACTTTTTTTCCTAAAAGTCTTCGTAACCAAGTTACGGGCCCTCGAAGTTACAAAATGAAAAATGTTTTTCTTTGATAACTTTTCAAGTGAATATTCAAAATCATCCAAATTTTGGTAATTGACTAAACAAATGAATTCCTTCGATGAGCTTTCATG